CCACTGACTGGATTGGAAACGCAACACCAGTTCGGAGAACTTACTGCGGAGACCTTGGGCATCAGTTTAGCAACAGGTCAAATGTGTTTGGGTGAGAAGTAGATTCATTGCCGACCCTGTCACGGTCGGCTAACATTGGTTTTTTGGGGAGGGACCCCTGGTACTCTGANGAGCATGAAACCGGAATCGATTGTGAATTAGCACCGTTATCACACAGTGGAAATTCCGATACTGCAGTCTTCATCAAGGATCTCAGGTGCAGTTCCGGTGGTCCTTTTTTCTTGTTTAGTTTCCAAGACTGAAGTACTGTGGTCGCCATTTCTGGTGTGCTGAGGGTGACTTTCATTATCTTCGGGCCGTTACCGCGGTAATTTGGTGAAAAAGGAAGACGACTGATTGATGTGGTAAAAACATCTTGGCAGTCTATCAGGTCCTTAATGAAACACCACTCCTTATTGTCGCTGTAAAAGCATTTGCACTCATCGGGATCATTTAGTTGTGGGATCCCATGAATGAGAATAACCCTTTTGCTCTCTTCCTCCCGTGCACCCTCTGGATTGTTCCGGTGTTGCACGCGCTCCGCCCATGGTCTATCAGAGAAGATTCGTGTGGTGCTGGAGCTGTTTCTCAAGAGATAACTCGAAAGAAGGACGTTCTCAACGTCCGTTTCACTCTTCAGTGTAACTCGTACTAACCTGGGTTCTTCTGCGTGTGGCGAATTTGGCTGGCGCACAAGCCGTATGAGGCTCACAGGTTGGACATCAATTCCCATTAAAGTGCACAAACCTTTCCAACGACCAAGATCTTCTTTTTGCCTTCCCCTCAGCGTTTGGGTTGTCGGCTCTGGTAAATTCGTGCAGATGACTGTTGAAGAGAGATCGGTGACTGAGATAACCACACGTGTGATTCAGAGAGGAGAGTACGTGTGGAGACCAATGGACGGGAGACAGCAAATGCGTACCAATCGATGTGATCGGTGATCGTGGACTGGACACACGTGAAAGCGTGATGGCGAACGGCACAGAATTGAATTACACGCAAATGTATTCCTTTCTCTCCTTTGTCAAGCGTTCGTCCCCTCGCCCATTCCTATCTCTTCAGAATTGATTCAGAGAGATGATCACAAGCTCGTTGAAGCGATGAAAGCTCTTCAAAATGGTGTCGCAATAAATCCAGTGGGTATACAATTGAGCACTATTTCGCTCGTTAATGACACAGAGAGGTCTGTGTGGAAAACCGAACGGCGTGAATGATCGAAGAGTAGAAAATATATCTAACATTTCGGTATCATTGAATGCAGCACAGAAAACTGATCAGAAAGAGTGTAAACTCGTCGCAGTAAGCCGTGTTTTGGCACAGAAACTCCACTTAATCTGGGAGCGCACCGTACAGTACGGTGAAACGACGGTGGTCGATTCAACGGCCACCTAAGCGTCCAAGGCGCTCCACAAACAGCACCATTCCCGTACAACGTACGCAGGAAATCGATGCAAATAATGCACATAGTGAATCAGTCATTATACAAGAAAGATGAACGATCCTCTGGTGAAACTCGCGGGGAGATACGTTTACTCAACTTTGTCACTAAACTTCTCGCTGGTATTATACTCCGCCGATTGTCCACCGCACGTGAACTGTGCACGCTTAAAAACCAGGCTGGGTTTAGACCTGGTCGAGATTGTATAGACCAACTGTTCATTTTCCGTCAAGTTCTAGAATACAGACACTCATTCCGTAGATCCACCATTTCTTTCTTCAGTGCTCCCCAACTTTTCAGCTTACGCCTCACTTACACGACGAATTCGTCATCTAACTCCTACCTTTCTCGATCTGAAAGTGGTCTTCGACTCAGTCGACCTCTCCAAGCTCTGGCGCTGAATTTCTCTGAAGGGAGCGTATGAGAAGTTTATTTCAATAATACAATGCCAATGTACTAATAACCGAAGTCGAGTCTGACCTTACGGCATATTTTCTCTCTAGTTCATTACGGAAAGTGGTGTTCGTCACGATTACCCCTCTCTCTTCCCGTTTCTATTCAACTTTGTCATACATTTAATTCTTAAAACAGCCCTATACTTGTGCGAGGACGACGGTGTAGATTTGCTTTTAGGTTGTAGACTGTCTGATCTGGAGTATGCAGACGACATTCTTCTGCTAAGTGAAGAACCGGATAAGAAATGCTGAGGTTAGGCCCAGAATTTTAGGTAATCGCGGTCGTCCATTGGAACAGGTGGTCAACCTCCATAGATTAAGCAAGTTGGGATATGTGCTGCGCATGTCACCAAACAGCTTGTCACGGTGAGCAATGTTTGCCGAGGCAGGAAACGGATGATAAAAGGTCCAGGGCGGTCAGAATTGCAGTAGGGTAAGAAAACCCTAACCAGGACACTGGGTCACATAGGTATTGTTAGGCTCTCTGGATGAAGACCCCGAGATTATGGCAATCTATGATTAGAGACACTGAAAGAGAATGATAGGTGTTGCAAACCATAGCGCTCGTGTATCCACTCACTATTCTTGCAACTCCAGTCCATATGGATTCTTTATCTTCTCTTCAACTCCGATCTCAAAATTTCAATCCTCAATCTGCTCTTCCATCCAAGTGGGCGGCCAAAAAAGAGTAACCAAAGCTGTGATATGATAATGCATGACTAATGGTTGCAAAAACTGAAACTAAATATTATTTAAATGATTGGTGTTTTCATTATTCCTCCTGTCTGGTATTTCGTTCATTTGTGATGTCAGAGCCAACATATAGTGGACATTCAGATCACTAATTTAATGGGTATTTAATCGTGGCAAAGCACCCAGAACCTGCAGATCACATCATGCCTGTGTGTCACGACGTTGATTTCCCTCTCTATTTGATGTGACCCACAAGGAGTTTTTAACCAGAAACGCTGCAAGTGATTACCGGACCCAGGTTGGTATTCTCCAAATTCTCAGTTCAAATGGTAAACTGGGACTATGATTACACCGTTCGACAAAATCATCCACACTAAACTCCACTGCCTCCCGGTTATCGTCCACTGGATGTTTAAAACAAATTTTGAAAATGCGACCTACTGATTATCCTTTACACTGATAATCTGTTAGGTAAAATTATTATTCTCACCAACATATTTTATCACTTTAGTGATTTTAGGCTTATCCGCCTGCTTCATACCTGAAACATTGGTCGTTCTATTCCAATAGATTTCCCGTTAAAACAGCACTCCCGTACTCGTAGAAATACGGCGTTGATTTAAACGTTTACAAAGGCGGCTGTGACAATGACAAACCGCCAACCACTAACCTAAATTTTAGCCTTATTCGAAAGAAAAGAAGAACTGCGTTAATTGTGACAGATTGTTTGTTTTACTATTAGAGTGGGTGAACAAAGTTGACAAGTCTTTTCACTCACCCAAAGGACCTCCCATTCTGAGAAAATCGAAACACCCTCAATATTGAACGAAAACTGCTCCGTGGAAAAGATAAGAGACAGAGGTAAACGAATCAAGTTCATTCAAGTGATTTCGGCGAAACTCACAATTTTTTCCAACAACGGTATGATCAGGACCAAATAACTTGATACATGGTTCAGTGGAACAGATTTCCCTTCTGCAGACTCAACAGATTCGGAACCGATAGGGTTGAGTACTCGACCGTGCAGAATGTCCGCTAAGAGAGACAGGGCATCCAAACGACCTTGAGACCAATCCGCATCGGCCTTCTCGCATAAAAGCGGAAGTAACTGATGCGCGGCAAACAGTCGCGACGCGAATAAGCAATGATGCAATCGGGTCGCGAGTGCCTCACGTGTAACTCCCAATGTCCCACCACCCGGAGGCTGGATGAAAATGAGAAGAGGATAGAACAGATAGAAATCAATGTTAATATCGTCACCCAAACGATAGGCGGTAGATGATTTGGGTGAAAAATTGATCAACTTACAGGCGAAAAGTCGATCGGGAAGTAGACAGACATGATTTCGAAAAAGTCGTCCTTCACTTCGTCTGTTGAATAGCAAAGGGAAACATTGGATCGGTGAGAGTCTGTGCCCAAAGGCACTCATTGTTCACGCAGATAAACAAAACGAACAACTAGAATTTCTGGAACAAATCTATTCTCCAATATACATTGGCATTTAAGCAACCAAGAGAAAGTGAGATCTGTGAATATACCTTAAGGTGAAACAAAGTCAATTTTCCGGTTTGCGAAAAAT